TCAGTTTCAGCAAGCAGGGTTGTGTCATCTGCACAATGCAGATTGTTGAAGAATCTTCCTCCAATAATATAAACCATTTCTTTTCAAGATCCATTCTTTTACAATTTTTATTTATTTTCCTGTTTGCTTTTCTAATTGCTGTTTTGCAGTGTCTTTAGTCTTCTTTGTGTTGCACTGCTTGGCTTCAGGTTCTATTATACATGCAATATTGTTTTGAATCTCTTGGTCCTTAACACCGATAGCAAGCACTGCATGTCAACCACAAATTTATTTTGCAGTCTCTGTGGGAATCCCAAGGTTCTTTAGTTTACCTTTAATAATTAAAAAGAGATAAAAGTTGTAGCCAGCTTATCCATTAGGGATTTGGGCCAAGTGTCTTACTAGGTCTTTCCTTCCTTAATTGCCTTAGTGCCTAAATTGAATTTTAAATTCCAAAGAAGAGAGCTTTGGGAGTTGAAACCACAATAGAAACAGAATTATGAAATAATGACACAAAAGCCATCTGTTCTTTTTACCATGAAATTAAAGTTAATATACACTGGAGCGGTGCCAATTCTAGCCTTGCCTCGTCATTTAGTTTTACAATAAAGACTCCAAATATTAGCAGTGTAAGAGTGAAATGAAATGTAGAAATGAATGGGTTTGGTATGGTATGGGTTGGGAAATATGCATGGAAGTCTGTTGCTCTAAAAATAATACAAGTGACTTGATGATAGGGGCTTTGGTTTTGTAGACTCCTAAGCCAAGAAAATACTGGTGATAAAAGGTTTCAGTGCTTGGCGGCCAACCAAAAGGTCACCTGTTCAAACCACATAGCTACTCTGTGAGGAAAAGATCTGGAGATTGCATGAAGCTTTGGAAATTCTGTAGAGCATTTTTAGCCTATCCTGTAGTCATGATAAGTCAAAACTGACTCCTTGCCATACAACAGTATAGTCTTTAATTACCATCTAAGTTTTTGGGTTTTTTTTAATATATATAAAAAGTTCTAATATTAAATACCTGGGAGATTATAATCTAAGTCCAAAGATTTGGTGCCTCTGAATTATGGAGAGGGTGAGGAGTATCTAATACTCCATGAAGAGCCAGAAAAATGAGCAGATCTGCCTTGGAATATGCACAGCCACAGTTTTTCTTAGAAAAAAACATAGAGAAGCTCGCTTACATCCTTTGTACAAGTCACGAGGAGGTGTGTTACCAGAATGGCTGCAAAAATAGGCTTTGACATCGCAGGGAGGGTGGTGTGGTGCAGGGCCAGGCAGTGTTGTATTCTCTCATTCACTATGGTTAGGACCGCCTAGATGCCACTAACAACAACAACAGGCCAGGAAGCAAACATAGAAGGGATTCTGTGCATATTTTTTGTAACCATTTAACATATAAATAATTTTAAAATGTAAGAATCTATCTTTAACTCCTGGGTTAAAACCCTGTTCATAGAGTCACTGTGAATCAAAGTTGACTTGATAGCATATAACAACCACCTTAAACTTGCTGGGAAAAGTAGAGGGTCAGAAAAAGAGACCCTTGATGAGATGACTCGACACTGTGACAGTAGGTTTGGCCGTGGTGGAGACCATGAGAATGGTGCAGGATAGGGCAGGGTTTAGATCTGCTTATTGTGTGATTCCTTGATGACACCTAACAATCTTAAACTTTAATTTTTACCAAGTTTTACTATCGTTTATTCAATGTACATTTTATCCTAGTTTGTGATTATATATTTTAAACAGAGCCTTCATGAAGTAAATAGATGTATACACACACACACACATTTATATAGAAGTAAAAGTAACAGCAGTTACTGCTACTTCCCTTGTTAGTAGTTATCTTCCTCGGTCTAGCAGGAGATACACTTACAAAGCTTTAATGATAACAAATATATTCTTTTCCTTTTAAGCTACCATCTGTAGGCGTACTGTCTCTTATTGGCAACTCAAGAATTTTTTTAAAAGCCTCTAAAATGTACACAAGCTCTTAACTAAAATTTGGTGACATAATAAATCTGAACTAATTTGACAGCAATTCTGAACTATGGACATGAAACTGAAATATTAATACATTTTACAATGGAGTTGTCCCAGGCACCAAGAGGTTCTGTATAATATTACACAGTCTGTGCTGTATTATCTTTTAGGACTAGAAGTAATCCTGAAGCACATCTGGCCCTGAGAGTTTCAGATAAGGAAATATGGACCTTACGAGCTATTCACAGTGTTTGTTGTTTTTTTTTTAAAATTTTTATTGTATTTTAATAATTTTAATGAACATTTACAGAGATTTTGGATTTCCATTCATTCATTGCTTATTCACAGTGTTTTAAGTAACCTACCACTCCTGACTTTTCTCCTTAATATTTATATGCAGCCATTATTGTTGTTGTTGTTATGTGCCGTGGAATTGATTCCAATTCATAGCCACCCTATGTACAACAGCTTTGAACCCTACTCTAAACAGAGCCGATTTCATCGTCTCTGACACACCTATCCCCCTTTCACTGAGTCAATCCGTTTCGTCAAGGGTCTTCCTCTCTTGTACTGTCCCTTCACCCTTCCAAGCATAGAATGTCCCTCTCCAAGGACTGACCCCTCCTCGAAACATGTCCAAACTATGTCAGGTGGAACTTAAAAATCCTTGCTTCCAAAACAACTATGAGATATCACCTCACTCCTGTAAGAAAAGCACAATTCTTCAGAGCCGCAAACACCAAATGCTGGCGAGGTTGTGAGAAACTGGAACCCTTATTCAGTGTTGGTGGGAGTGTAAAATGATGCAGCCACTATGGACTGTAATATGGCGCTTTCTCAAAAAGTTGCAAATAGAAATACCATTTGACCCAGCAATTCCACTACTGGGAATATACCCCAAAGAGACCATAACTGCCACCCAAGCAGATAGATGCACACCCACGTTTATTGCTGCTTTGTTCACAATAGCAAAGAGCTGGAAACAACCGAAGTGCCCATCAACTAACAAATGGATAGAGAAGCTGTGGCGTATGCAAGCACTGAAAAACAAAGAACTCATGAACTATAATACAAAATGGTTGACCATGGATGACATTGTGCCAAGTAAAATATCTCAGCCACAAAAAGACAAATAATGCATAATGCCACTGTTATAAAACGGAACTGACATGAGGGTTGGGAGGAAACTAAGAAAGGAGGGGATAAACAATGTACACGGCATTGAAACAGATGAGGGAGAGAACTGTATAAAAGGAATATGTGATTAGATATTATTGGCATGGTAAGAGTCCAGAATAAGAGCTGCATAGTAAAGTGGTGTGGGATGGGGGGCGATGGGGGAACTGTATAACAATAAAATTTTTTCCATAGAAAAAAGTGAACTGTGGGGATGGGAGGCAGGGAGGAAAATGTGCAACAGTGAATGAATGGAAATCCAGGTTCTCTATAAACTTTCATTAAAATCTAAAAAAAAAAAAAAAATCCTTGCTTCCAAGGAGCAGCCTGGTTTCACCCTCTCTAGGATGGACCTGTTCTTTTAGCAGTCCATTATATTCAATAATCTTCTCCAGCACAACTCTTCTTCATCAATTCTTCTATCATCATCAATTCTTCATCTGTCATCCTTAGTCATTGTCCAGCTCTCTGATGCATAGCAAGTAATGGTGGAGACTATGGCCTCGATTGGGCACACCTTAGTCATAGTCAACACTAATATATTGGGTACCAGTTATTCAGTATGCCTAGCACATTGTATAATCACTTTTAAGTATAAATAATCCTACATTTTTGATACTTTTGTTCTTGTTTATAAACCAAAACTCAAAATCATGAAAAAAAATTTGCCAGTGTCACACAGCTTATAAACTGTAGTGTTTCCATTTACTTCCAAACCCATTTTACCTCAAAAGCCATTCTGCTGAATCTTTCTGGGATACTGTTGTACACAGGTGTGCGAGTCATACCTCTTCAGATTAGTAAATGATCGGAGTATTGTTGATTCTTTGAGATTGGATGTTCAGCTATTTAGTTAGCAAGTTTGGAATAAATAATTCTGTGATTTTAATCACTATGTTCAGTGTGTATCTGAAGAGTCTTTGTGATGAATGTTAGAAAGTATGTAATAAAAAATGTGTTAGTGAGCTTAATTGAAATTGTCTCTGTATACTAAATAATTGTTGAGTTGTTCATGTAACCTTAACCAATACTACTATTTTTTTTTTTAATTTTAAATTTATTTTCATGAAAGTTTAGAGACTTTGGATTTCCAGTCATTCATTGCTGCATTTTTCTCTCTGCCCACCCCTCCCCCCATTAGCTTTTCTTTTTGAAAAGTAAAAGCAAAACTTCTTTCATTGTTATTCAGTCCCTCCCCCAAGTCCACTCAACTATGCTACCTTCATTCTGAACTCCTGTCATAACAATAATATCTAATCATATATCCCTTTTAAACAGTTCTCTCCCTTATCTGTTTCAATGCAGTATACATTATTTTTTTAAATTATTATTAAATTTTATTCGTTTTAGTGAACATTTACAGAGATTTTGGGTTTTCATTCATTCATTGTTGCACTGTTTTCTCTACCCTCCTCCCCAGTTCGTTCTTCTTCCCCCCA